AGCTGAACTGTATTATTTGTCTAAAATCATTATTGCTATTAATTTTCAAAATAAATGAGAAAACTTCATTTTCGTTTTTTTTTCCGTAACATTAGCTTTTAAAACTTTTACATGCGGAAAAAAATCTATAGGTCTCATTCCAGAAAATAAGTACAAGCGAAAAGCAAAAATATTGCGTATTTAAAATCAAAAAACAATGTTTACAGGCGGATAATATATCTAACGAAAATATTCATTTTATACGAGAGGATCAAATAAAAAAAATCTAGAATCAAGAAGCTTTAAAAATTAGTATCTGATTCCCTCATTAACATGTTACTTATCCCCCTCCCTCGAGACTTTATTTTGTGGCACCCTGCTCGCATACAGCATTGTATCTTACAAAAACCACATTTTAATGATCATTGAAGATAATTATATGAAGGTTCCGTAAAATATTGGGAACTGCCTTGAATATTATAATTTCTAGGGATAAGGTAGGCGTACAAAATATTCAAAAGGTCAATGTATCGAAGAAAAACTTCAAATAATTCTTATTACTCGTTATTTAAGGAACGATAAAGAAAATCGATACCAAATAATATAATTTTGATCAACTTTTTTTGCATTTCGATATTACATAGATCATTACATCCAAATGTTGATGCAAATATACAAAGGTTCGGAAATGTGCTTTGTGTTGCCCTCATTTTTAAGGTATCCTCACCTACATTATGTTAGTTAACAAATGTTTATCTACTTTGACGGAAAAAGTCTAGAATTGGAGCTATAAAACAGGGGTCATAATTCGCATGAGCAAAAATGAAAATAATTTTGTTAATACACTTATGGACTAAAAGATATCCTGATTGGTTGATTTTAAAGTGACTACAGTTACTCGAAGCGAACTGTAGTTGACGGACTCAGATTTTGTAGGGGTGTGTGCCGCTGTTTCACTGAAAAAAAACAAAAAACAAAAAAACAATGGTGATAAAAATTGAAGGTCCAGACAAAATAATGGAGATTGATGAAACATTGATTGTAAAAAGAAAATATAACCGC